ATATTCATTACTGCTTCGAAAATGAACCAAACACTGAGTGGAAAATGAGTTTTTAAGCTCTTGTTCTAGAAAAAGTTCAATCCACAACACTCCGGGGCTCTTTCCTACTTAGCCTGGCCAAGGAATTTTCGAGTAAGCTAGCTCAAGCGCTTCGGACTTCTTTTCTGGAGCTATCCGGTTCAAATCTCGGCCCGTATATTATCGTGGCTGTGGTTTCCGTGACTCTCCTTGGCCCCTCCAGGCAAATGCTGAGACAGTGCTCTGAAACACACCACGACCGCTTCCTTCTACATCCTAATTCACTATTTATGAATTATCCTACAATTCAATGCTCACTACTAACAGCGTCATTAAATGGTTCATAAATGAGATAAAGGCATACTCTACTGTGCTAAACTTCGACATTCTTGCAACAAGCAGGCCTAGGTACGTTAAATGTCATTATGTGAAACAGCAGCATTTACTGTCGCTCAGCAAACAAGTGTCCTACCTGCAGGTGTTTATCTAACAATCTGCAAGTGAAAACGTGCTCAACCAGTATCATTCTAATTCAATTCTTCTCTCTGCTTATTATGGAGCCGGGATAGCGCAGTCGGTATAGCGACTGGCTACGGGTTGGACGAGTTCGAGTCTAGGTAGGGTCAAGAATTTTCACTTTTCCACGTCGTCCAGACCGGCTCTGGGGTTCACCCAACCTCCTATACAATGGATACCGGGGGAACTTTCCCGGGGATAAAGCGGCCGGGACGTGAAGCTGACTACTCAGCTCCAACTAGTGCCGAGGTCAAGAAAATTTGGATCTATACATCCACTCCCTCATACGTCTCCATAGCGTAATACTTAATTAGTTAAGCACAGGGACAACTTTACCTTTACTTACTTATGCAACTGAGCCCTTCTTGAGGGGAAGCCAAATCTACAGCTACTGAAGAATTTCCCAGTATTTTATGGAACCCGAAGGTCCATTTCCGTGTTCACAAGAGCCCTCCACTAGTCCCTATCCTGAGCCAGAACAATCCAATCCATACCATCCCATCCTATCTCTCTAAGACCCATTTTAATATTGTTCACCCACCTACGCCTTGGTCTTCCCTGTGGTCTCTTTTCTTCTGGTTTTCCCACCAATATCCTATAGGCATTCCTCGTATCCCCCATTCGTGCTACATGCCCTGTCCACCTCATCCTCCTTGATTTGAGCATACTAATTATACTTGGAGAGGAGTACAAGTTATGAAGCTCCTCATTATGCAGTTTTCTCCAACCTCCTGTCACTTCATCTCTCTTCGGTCCAAATATTCTCCTCAGCACCCTGTTCTCAAACACTCTCGGTCTATGTTCTTCCCTTAATGTCAGAGACCAAGTTTCACATCCATACAGAACCACAAGTAAAACTTCACCTCTGCTTATTATAAATTATACACCGTCCAGCTACCGCCCACAACCACTGAATCACATACCGAAACGTAACCGCTTCCTCAGTCTGGATGTCCATCTGCTAGTTAACATCTGCGCCAAATGGCCAGTTTTTACTATTCACACAGAAGCCACACGGATTAGCCTGCCTCTGTGCCCTCAAAAGGCCTAAAATATAAATACGACGATGTCCTTGTGCTTAATTAAGCACCATGCCATGAAGACGTTTAGGGGAGTGGAGCTATAGCTCGCCATTCTTGACCTCGGCACTATATTTAAGTGTGATAAACTTCTCGCCCCCGCCACTCTAACCCGGAGGAGCCCCTGGTACCCATTGGAGAGGAAGCTGGACGGGCCCCAGAGACGGTATGGACACTGTGGAGTATAGAAATATCTCTTACCCTTCCGGGAAACGGACCCTGGCCGTCCAGCCCGTATACCGTCGCTATACCAACAACCAATATCAACATGGTGGTACTTCGAACGTTTGGTAGTTGAAACTAGAGCCATCTACTACATGGACCCAGCATAATCAATGCCGACAGATCGAAAAGTATGCAACCTTTGTCAGTAATTTCTGTGGAGAGTGTAAAAATCATGACGACCAGCCGAGGTCCATGCGTGTATTTCCTCTTCCGTTTCAACTGGATAAATGGTAACAACGACAAATACACAACTGAGGTGAGACTGAGTCCCGTGACATGGGGACCTCAAAACAGCGCTACTGTGCCGGGTCCCAATGACAATAGTGATGACTACGGAGCATTATACCATAACAGCTGGCAGAGCCAAACGGAAGCATTCACTGTCCCAGTGCCACTTCGTCAGCACAGAAGAATCGGGCCTAGATACAAGCTTACACGCCCGAGCTGGCACGGACCACAAGATCACGTATTTGTCAAAGTTTTGGTTAAGTTTTATATTGCGACAATAGCTTACTGTCGTGTGTTTGAAATATAATTTCAATGGCAGCACACCATTATGACCCTGGCTTATACCATGCAGTATCTCAAAACTCATGAGCTTCCCGCAAATCGTTGGGCCGCTAGGAATAAACAATATGACACTCGTCTTGTCTAAATTGGCCAAGGAGACTGTTAGCCAAATCGACACGTATACTGCCTAACAAATTACAAATAAATCACTGACATCACAGCTGGATATACCCTCTGTTCTTACAAGGCAATGGTAAAGTTATCCCTCTACTAGGCCGTGAAGGCCCAAAGGGTTGTGAGACATCGAGGCTCCCACATTTTCTTGACAACCGGTTCAGAGATGGCGGTAAGGGTTTAAGCCTTGCGCACCGGCTGCCATTTACTCCCAGGAATATTCCTGGTACTCATATCTGTTAGAGACTGAGTAGGCCCCAGGGACATAGTGCGGCTGGAAGGCTCGGGCTGACTGAAAAAATCCAATGACATCAGGAATAGAACCCGCAACCTTCCGCCTTGTAGTATAATGCCTCGACCAAATACACTACTGCGTGCCCCTTCTGTTTTTATACCTCTTCACAAAGTTTACATTCACACGTTGACCTTTTACAGTCCAGTACTTCTACATGTACCACCTGCTGTAACAAGCTAAAACTATGCATTATCCGTACAGAGTGTATTTATGTGCATCGTATGGTTCTCACAGCAAAGAGCGATTGTTTATCTGAACAACATTAATCGGCTGATCTCTGTAGCGAAGATTTAATCTGTCACCTGTGAGCTACGAGCTGAAATTTTATAGGGAACAAAGGAAACGTGAAACCCCAGTCTCATGAGCATGTTTATTAAGCCTGGCACCGATTTCATCCAATTCCTTTCCAGTGAGCACTCTTTACTTCGACTTGTCTTCTTTTTCAGTAACGAAGAAATCGGTGCTCGGCTTCTACGTTCTCCTGACAACAGAGACCATTCCCAGCATCAGCAGTAATCTGGGTTTATTTATTCTTTGCCTGACATTCCGCGACCCAATTATGGGGGAAGAGCGTCAGGTGCTTCCGCCCGAGCGGCTTAATTCGCGCGGACCTCTAAGACAACCGCACTTTACTACAGCTCAGACTAAGGAGACACATATACTCACTATTTTCTATTGACTCGTTTTGTCCCAAATGATAATTTAGATGTTCTACTGTAGACCAATTCATAAATTACGACCACAAAGAAATGAATGGGTTTGGGAAAATGCAAAAGCTAACGTGGTATGTGATCTTCCCGCTCCCGATTAATTATGTGACAATAACGTAAAGCTATCCCTGCAACAGGCAGTCCAGACTTCGACATTTTCTAGACAATCAACTCACAGACGGCGGTGAGGATGTCAGCCTTACGCGCCAGCCGGTCGCCCTTACCCCCAAGAAGATTCCTGGTACTCATTTCTGATAGAGGATGAGTCGACCCCAGGCCACAGTGCGGCTGGAAGGATTAGGTCAATTGAAAAATCCAAGGACCTCATTGGGAATCGAACTCGCGGCGTTCCGGATTGTAGCATAGTGCCTCAACCAAGTATGCTACCGCGTGCCCCACTATGAGACATGTATGGAGAAGAGGTACACATCTACTTTGCAATTCAGTGAATCGCTTTCTCTTAATAAACTACGAGTAATCCATTACATAATCTACAGTCTTGTGGGATGAAAAAGTGTAGCCTGGTAGATAGGTAATAATGTTTCGAAGAAACTGCGGCCTCTTCTCCTTGAGGGTGGCGGCAGCAGGTTCCTCCGAAACGCTGGTACCCACATCTCAGAAGACTGTAATCTTGAGAGAACCATGAGAACCTCGTTTAACGGCGAGGCAACATCAGCACTGAGCCACAAGATTTGTACACGTAGAATTATACAATAAAGCACGAAAATAGGAAATCACACAACTCGCTCATGTTAGTACTTCCACAACTTGGAAAAGAATACAAAATTACTTTTAGGTTTTGTCATGTTTACTATGGATGTTCACGAATGCTTACATCGAAAAAGCAAATAACCTGTACATACGAATGTCTCAGCCGAGTAGTAACCAGCAGCCTCCGTCTGAGGAACAAGAGGGCGCCCTTGAGGGCCAGTTCGAAGCTATGCAAATAAAATGTAGGTTATCGTTGTACTCGTATGTAACACACGTTTCTCAATGAAGAAACCCCTTATACCGAGCAATCTCAGGCGGTAAACTGTACTGGAGAGATGACCGGTTCGAATCTTGGCCGAGACATCGAATAACCCAAGACTTTTCATGATTATCCTCCGTCCTTTTAGGCAAATTCAGGCTAAGAGTTTTAAATTATGCCACGGTCGCTTCCTTTCGAATCATTCGGAAGTCATTCACTTAACAAAATATCCCGCCATTCAATGGCATATCTGAGGTACTGACAGAGTCATTAAATTACAGATAAAAAATACGAAATATATAAAAGTCACTTTAAAACAAAATTTTGTCTACAGACACATTTACTGTCACATTTAAATAGTTTCGAAAAGAACGTCACGTGCTACTGATGTCGTGTGGACTTCAGCAGTGCTGGCCCAATTCGTTTGTGAAATTCTGCGCTTATGGACTAACGTTATCGCCAGGGACTTGACAGCAACCATGAAATATGAAGAATTATCCCACCTGATAACGGATCGCAGTGTCTTGCGAGAGTTGCGTGGTGTGAGTAAACATATCTGGAAATTGGCAGGTGGCGAAGCTGGCAATGGCGGAGGCGGTAGCGGTGGGGGTGGCGGCAAACAATGGCAACAGCACTGTCCAACAGCAGTACAAGGAGCACCGCCACTGGTACCCCTTTCCCTCCGTCTTCCCAAGCCCATGACCGCCAATCTCGATGGCGTTTGACTATGCCTTGTAATATTAACAGCTGTGTGCGCTGATGAGCCACCAGAAGTGCCGATACCCTGTTCGGCCACGATAGCCTGAAAGGTTCCACGCCACAGTCTTTCAAACAACACCCGTTCGTTAACTGTACGTCGGCGAAGGCAGCCATTGTTATTTCCAGGAAACAACATACTAATAAACGTATGGAAACTATGTTCACGAACACTTAAGTGACTAACAACACAGTACTATCACAGCAACATGTATGTTCCAGCTAAGGTGCTCTGACAAAAACACAGAATAAGACTGCTATTTGAAAACTCCTGGGCACAGTGCACGGAAAAACTCTTCACAAAATACATACGATTGGCGTAATATTATGACTTGGAACAGACGCGGAGAAATGGAAGACTGCAATGAGGCACAACGTTGGTCTAACACATGACCTAAACACAGCTCACGGTTCTTCTGGAAGACATATCAGATTCTGTTACCGAGCAGACAGATGACTAGGTAGCGGTCATCGTGCCTTGATTAATGGCCAGATTACGGAGGATGCTGACCGCCGCAAAATCTTGGGAGGGGCAGCATAAGCCGCCACCCCATGATCCTCTCGGAAGCTGAGCGAACAATCACTACACGTTCCTTCAATACTAGGCTATCTAGCCAGTACAAGAATTGCGTCGGCGCAACCCTCCCTATGGGACGAGCGAGAACTACGAATATTGTAACCCCTCTATTTATCCACGGTCTCTACTGCAGCATCCGCTCCTTGTATCAACCCCCGACACCACTTTCATTTCCTCCTCCCCCCTCCCGCTCAACTCCCCTTAACCCGCACACACACACACATATATATACTGCGAAAATCGATCTTTGCGGCCATGGTCCGTGTGGTGTCCCTCTGGCTTCCAGAGGGCTCTGCATTCAAAGAAGCACGGTTCCAAACCAATCTGTTGGATCGATAACATAAAATTTACATTACGGTGCTCAGCGTCATTATGATTTCCAGCAGTGGTTGGATTACGAGAAAAGGGCGTCGCGTTACATGAGAAGCCAAAATGAGTACACGAATAGGATTAGTGTTTCAATTTAACGGAAGCCCAGAAAATGTTTTGCACCTGAAAGTCTACAGTTCAGTATACACTCCCCACTGATCTCTTGGTATATGCGTTAATTTCTTCATAATATAATGGCGGGTTGGGCCATGACCTAAATAAAATGCACGCGGAATGCCAAAATTATTAGATGATGGGTACTGTAGCGTCTATTACACTGGAGGTGATCAGTGACACCATCATTAACGAACAACGTAATGTATGGCAGGGCAGATCCAAGTATGAAGCTGAACTGTTCAAGTTAATAAAATTGTCAGACCATAGGTTTAAACTCTATGGATGTAATTTTGCAATCAAGATGTCGCCAATTCTTTTAAAGTCGCAAAGAGACCAGCAGGCAAACACAAAGACTTAATTAATTCAGCTAAACATGGGTGCAAGCAACCTCCACCCCTTTCCTTACAGGAACATGTCAGAAGCATCCACAACAGGCCATAGCTTGTACTACATCTCACAGGAAACTGGGCAAAAGGATTCCATTTCTGGAATTTTTCATTTATATTTGTGGTTCTTATTTGTGTCATCCCTCTTCCACTTGTCTACAGGAAAGCTATTTAGTTCTTCAGTTAAACAAGTTCAATCGCCACTTTTATGTTAACATTACATTTGAGTTGCAAAGTACAGAAGCATGAAAAGAAGTTGTATTACAACATATAAAATACGTGGAATATTCATATCGATGTTAAACAGACAATCGCAAAATAAAGAAAATACGGAACGAGGGAAACGATTTAAGCTTGAGATAGATGATGACAGTAATAATTAAATAAAACCATACAGCAAAAAGTAATTTGTTCCAAATTCTGTAACACCCAGTGATGGGAGCCAGGTGGAACTGAGGGTGGCATTAATAGCGAAATACAACCAATTTACAAATAGTACCTACTTCTTAATACATCATTTGAAACATAAATTAAATGGAACATAACTCATATGTACAGGTATGCTGTAACTAAAATCATTTATACTTCAACCCTCCACTGTTATGAATACATACATGACCATGTTTCAAGAGAGATCTGTTACAGTTCCAGCCATGATGCTGCCAACAGCATTTTCAGTATTCACTTTCAGTCATACTCGTACTAAGCTTCTCATATAGTTCTTCTGCAGGCGTTCTTTATGAGCCTCCCTCCCCCAAATTCTGGGAGATGTGAGATCCAGGGACCTACTTGGCCATAATCCACTGACTATTCCCTAATCTTATCCATTGTTTTTCTGGTGGTATTATTTTTTTATTGCTAGTGGGATGGGAGTAAGTCCCTTGTACTGCGGCCACTTCTGGCCTATTGCACCAGCCCCAGATGATAGGTGAGGGTGATTGTGGAGCAACTGGTGGAACGAAGATTAGCAGGGGAAACCGAAGTATTCAGAGAAAACTGCCCCAGTGCCACTTTGTCCACCACAAATCCACTTGACTAGACCTGGAATCGAACCCGGGCCACTGCGGTGGGAAGCCAGCAACTAACCACTTCAGCTATGGTGCGGCCTTTTCTGGTGGTAAGATACACAGCAGCACCCAGCTGAATTCATCTCCTTCATGAAGTTCCAGTAAGAAGCAAAACTGCATGATTACGGGTTGATATGCCTCTGCATGGATTGTTTGTCTCCCTCCCCGCAACATACAGTCCTTACAATTCTGTGATGTGAGAGTTCGGCCACAACCTTTATGGACAGACCTACGTGAAGGTGCGTGCTTTAGGCTTGTCACACGTAATAAATTCTGCAATCATACAATGATGTATACACAAAATACAATGTTCTCTATTAGGACACAGCTTTAAATGGATCACCCGGTACTTTAGTCACCGTGGGTTCAATTTCAATCCCTGTCATTTATTTACTTTCGGTTCAGTAATGGCTGAACTTATGAAAAGATTCGGGGGCTAAAATTTCAATAAAGTCTGGCAGTTGAATGCTGTCAGTCCAAGACATTAATATGTGAGGATTAAGGAATGTTCCTTCATAGATTTCTCGGGTCCTGAGAGAGTATGGAATCTTCATGTATGAAGATGAAGCTGGAAGGCATCAGATGAAGATTCCAAGCAAACAGTCTGCAGAAGAAATATGGGGAAATGTGACTGCAGACCTGAGCCACTGCAAAGAAAATCTTTATGCATGAAGAAATACGAGGTCACATAGAAGTAAGTTTTCTTTAATTTTCAAGGACAGAGCACATACTTTCAGTTTAATACAAGAGTGCTTGTATAATGCATAAGGATTTGAATGGAACATAGAATGAACCATTTCTGGTGGGCAGTGACGCTGAAATTATGCATAAAGCTGCAACGGTAGGCACATAGCAACAGAGACAGCAACACAGAAAGAAGAAATACTTCTGTAAAACACTAAGTGGTGTATGATGGCTGAGGTTCTCACTGTGGGGAATATTAAGATCACGGTTTTCAGTGATATGATGCAAATACTGTGGTGTACCTTCCAAGGAGTGAATGGAAAAAATATATATCCCATTCATCCCATGAAATTACTTAGAGAACAATTCTAATGAAATTATGTGTGAATAAAATGCTCTATATTTGCTGTGTGTATTTTAAATGTTGCAGTATGGTATGTCACAGTGCATTCCTGTCAATATAAGCAAGTTAAAATCTTTGGCAAAAGGTTTTAAAGGGGTAATACACACACAGACACAAAGTGATCTTGTAAGGCATATTTATATACACAAAGCTAGATAATGAAAACAAAAGAATATGAAGAGTACAATCCTCTTGAGTTGTAACACAATTTATTCTTCACTCACTCATGGAGCTGAGCCCTTTTTGAGAAGCCGCCAAATGTGCAGCTACTCAAGAATTTCCCAGCATTTTACGGAGCTCGAAAGTTCATTACTGCTTTTACACGAGTCCTCCACTGGTCCCTATCTTGAGCCAGATTGATCCAGTCCACACCACCCCAACCTATCTCTCTAAAATCCATTTAACTCTTTGACTGGCGCGGGCGTGTTTTAACGCCCGGACGATGCCAGCCGTTCCCTGGCATTGGCGTGTTTTAACGCTTTGACAATCTCTTCCTTCCTTTGCTCTCTTGGCACTCATCAACCAAAGACATATATATATGATAGTTTTTGTGCATGTTTGTAAAGAACCCTTGTAAACTTTGTGGGGGTCTATATTACTGTCAGAACCCTCTGAGAAGGAAAAGGTCAGAAAATATTTCACATTCATTCAGTTTCACCATGTCTTCTTGCAGCAAGTGTCTTCGTGTTCCTACAGACCAGCTGGAAAATGTTGTGAACGAGATTTGTTCTGATGATGATTGTGGCGATGAAATAATGATTCCTGAATTGGATGAAGTTGATAGTGACAATAATACAGTGATAGACAATGATCCACAAGACAGTAATCATGAACATTTACCTACCACGAGTGCGGTGCCTGACACGCCCATCTCATGAACGTACGGAGACACTGTACCCCCAATATTTTCATTTGCTAATAGTTTCGGGATCAAAATTGATATAACACATAAAATGCATCCCTTTTCATGGATTAAAATTTTTTCTGGATGACGACTTGGTAAATCACATCACAACTGAAACCAATCGCTATGCTCACCAGCACTTCAACACACATGAGTTAGCTCCTCACTCTCGAAAACACAATTACAATTATGTCACATCAGATGAAATCTGGACATACTTAGGAATTGTGTTCATGACAGGAATCGACAAACGCCCTGAAATTGAAGAATATTTGTCCACTAGGCCCCTATTTCACACCCATGGTATGGACAAAACATGTCTTTGCAGTTGAATAGTTTCATTCTATTCAAAAAGAACACAACAAACGAAAAATACAAGAAGAGAAATTACAGATTCAAAGATTTTATATTGGACTGTGTAGAAAAATGACTGAACCAAACAAACAGTGTGGAGAGGGAGAAAAGTCAAGGATTGAAGTGGATGACGAATTTATTGCGTCAGACTAGAGTGCAGTCACGCCTCCGCCCTCGACCTTGAAAAGGCCACCAGTGAAAGAGCCAGTAAATCGTCTAGAGGGTGGCTTGAAAATTCACAAAATGGTCCATGTTCCTCCCAGTAACAATAAGAAGAGTGGTGCCCTGAGAAAGTGTCGCGTGAGTGCTAAGCACAAGGTTAGAAAAGGCAGGCAGTGGTGTGGCTCTCTGCAAACTTTCATGTTTAAACGTTTATCACACGATGAAAAACTAATAAAGAGGTATGGAAAGGAATTTATTGCATAATATATTGTATTTTAATTAGTTCCTGAAAATTTCGTTTTTAAAAACCAATTTTTGTTGAAGTTGTTTAGGAAAAAGTAACAACATGCATTTTAGCGACATAAGGTTTAAAGGGCCTGCCAGGACAGGGGTGGGATTTAAATACCCTTCGCGCCCGTCAAAGAGTTAATATTGTTCACCCACCTATGTCTTGGTCTTCCTAGTGGTCTTTATCCTTCTGGCTTTCCCACCAATATCCTATATGCATTCCTCTTTGCTCCCATTCGTGCTACATACCATACCCATCTCATCCTCGA